CAGCAAAGAAACTAGTCAACATAATGAAAAGTAGTGGACAGTATATGGGAAAACATTTGCAAACCTGATAAAGGGTTAGTGTACAAAATACATAAGAAAACACATGGAGACTGAACAACGTGCTTCTGAATCAAAGTGGGTCATAGAAGAAAGCAATACTTTTTGGAAACCAATGCAGATGACAATACAACATATCAAAGCTTATGGGATATAGCAAAAGCAGTGTTAAGAGGAAAGTTTATAGCACTTGGTGCCCACATCAAGAAATTGAAAAGGCACCAAATGAGCTCAATGCATCTCAAGGTTCTAGAAAAACAACAGCAAACCAAACCCAAAACTAATAGGAGAAAAGAAATCATTAAAATTAGAGAAGAAATCTAAAAATTGAAAAACAAATACAAAAGATCAGCAAAATGAAGAGCTTGTTTTTTGAAAAAATAAACAAAATTGACATGGGACTCCAAATCCCATTAAGCTGGCAGGTACTAATGCCATCATACTAGTTAAAGTGATCATTTTAAGTGCGTAACTGATCATAAAGATAGGAATAAGTGTCAAAAGGATCACATAAACAAGACCAATTGCCTGCTAATAACAATAGATAACATTAAAAAGCAGAGAATAATCCAACATGGGAAGCAGGCCACACAGAAGACTCATAGAATGACAAATGGCCAAATCATCACGCTGGCCTCAGAATCAGCCCTTAAGGCATTCGGATCTGGCTAAAAAGCCCAGGAGAGCATTTTGGGCATTAAATGCCAAGACACTGTGGCAAAAAAGGGTCTACATGAAAGGTCTCTGTGAGATCCCACTGGAAATAAGGGACTATCAAAAAAGGAGGTACCTTTCTCTGAGGGGAGGAGAGAACTTCCATTTTGATTTCAGCTCTGTCTATATAATGCTGGAGTTTGTGGACTCAAGAGGCTTCTGTAGCCTTGGCAGCTCATGACAAGAACCTCAGGTGGTCACTCACATCATAAATCAGAGTGTCAATTACTAAAGCAACAATAGGAGTCACTGTATACTTGCTCTACATGTAGGACCTCTGTCCTTAATGAGTTGTACTATGAGATTTAATGGTAAAACTTGTCTTCAAACAGTACTTTGTACTTTGTGTGTCTGTGTGGGTGCAAACTTTTGAAATCTTTACTTAATATGGAGTTGATCTTCTATGTATAATTAAAAATGAATATTAATGAAGGATGGAATTTGAGAGGCAGTTGGAGTTGGGACAGGCGTGGGGGTGAAAGGGCGGGTATAGGGGGAAGAACCGCTATATTCCAAAAGCTGTACCTATGAAATTTATATTAATTAAATAAAAGCTTTCTAAATATACATTTAGAAATCTTTAGTTTAATATATATATTGATATATATTAAATATATATATTTGCATATATATAACTCATACAACTCCATAGTAAAGGAAACAAAATATAGAAACTCAAAAAAGTAGATAAAGCATGTAAATAGATGTTTTTCTAAAGAGGACATACAAATGATGAACATATATATGAAAAGGTACTGAACATCACTAATCACCATGGAAATGAAAATGAAGACTGCAATGAGATATCAACTCATACCTTTTGTGTTGGCTATTATGAAGACAATAGAAAATAAGTGTTGGCAAGTATATAGCAAAAAGGGAACACTTGTACACTATTGGTAGGAATGTTAATTGGTTCAACCAATATAGAAATTAGTATAGAGATTACTCAAAAATGTTAAAAATAGAACTTCCATACCATCGTGCAATCCCACTTCTAAATAAACATCCAAAGGAAGTTATATTAATATATCAAAGAAATATCTGCACCTCTGTGTTCATTGAAGCATTATTCACCATATTTAAGATATACAGGCAAACGAAATGTCCATCAATAAATTAATGGATAATGAAAACTGTTATAATCATTGGGTTACCATTCTTTCTTAAAAATGAAGGAAATTCTGCTATTTGTGACTACATGAGTGCGTCTGAAAGATATTATGCTAAGTGAAATAAGCCAGAAACAAAAAAATGCTGTTTAATTTATATGTGAAATCTAGAAAAAGCTTTGAAACTCATAGAAGCAGAGAGTGGAATGAAGTCTACCAATGGTGGAAGGTAAGGAGATGTTGGACAAAGATTACAAGCTTTCAGTTATAAGATAAAGGAGGTTCTGGGAAGCTAGTATATAGTATAATGACTATAGTTAATGATATTTCATTGTTTAAATTTTATAAGAGAAAGGACTTTAAGTTCCCTTATTCCCCCCATACCAATACACAAAACATATCACTTAGATGATTGTGGATGTATTAATTAATTTGAATGTGATCATTATTACACCATGTATATGTGTATCAAATTATCACATTTTATACTTTGCATACTTTAATTTTCTTAAATATTTTAAAATTAAAAAAGCTGTTCAACTGTCCTCCAGAGTGAGTGTTCCATTTTGTTTTCCTATTGCTTCTATGTCCTTGTTAGCCTGTGGTGATGTGTTTCAGATTTTTAGAAATTTTAGTAGATGTGTAAGGGTACCTAGTTGTTTTAATTTGCATTTCTCTTCTTTTGATTTTATTTGAGAGGTAGAGTTACAGAGAGCGAGAGAGAGAAAGGTCTTCCAACCACAGGTTCACTTTCCAAATGGATGTAATGGCCAGAGCTGAGTCCACCCAAAGCCAGGAGCTTCCTCTGGGTCCACCATGCAGGTGCAGGAACCCAAACACTTGGACCATCTTCCTTTTACTAGTTCATTCCCCCAAATACCCACAATATCTAGGGCTGAGCCAGGTTGAATCCAGGAGCTACATTCTCAATCTGAGGCTTCCATGGAAATGGCAGGAACTCAAGTATTTGAGTCATCATTTTCTTCCAACCCCCTCCCCGACACAGTACACATTATCAGAAAACTGGAATCATGAATAAAACCAGGACTCAAACCCAGCTGCCTTGATATGGGCTGCAGGGGTCCCAAGCAGTGGATTAGCTGCTGCACCAGATGCCCAATGTCCACCCCTCTAGTAAGTCATTATGTCAGATGGTGTTAGTTCTCCAACTTTGTCTGCTCCATCAATACTGCTTTGGCTATTCTGGGGCCTTTGCCTCTCCATATGAGCTTTAGAATCAGTTTGTCAATATCTATAAAACAACATGGTGGTATTTTGATTCAGATTGATATAATCTATGTATCATTTTTTAGAACTTAAATATTGACAATATTGAGCCTTCCTATTCTTGAACGTAAATCATCTCACCATTTATTTTTTTATCAGAGTTTTGTAGCTTTCCTAAGATTTTGTACATGTTTTGTTAGATTAGATTTATACCTAAGAATTTCATTTTAGAAAGTGTAATATCAGTGGCATTGAGGTTTTAGCTTCAAATTTCACTTCTTCATTGCTAGTACATAGTGCAGTGTTTGGCTTTCGTATATTAGACTTGTATCCTGCAAACTTGATGTAATTACTTATTAGCTCCAGGTTTTTTGCCAAATTTTTGAGGTTTTATTTAGATATGTGAATAAAGGCATTTTTACTTTTCTTGCAAATCTGTATACCTTTTCTTGTTGCATTAGCTGGAACTTCCAGTAAAATTTTGAAAAGGAGTGATGTGCAGAACATCCCTGCTTTGTTCCAGGTCTTACTGAGAAAACTTCAAAATTTAACCATTAGAAATGATGTTAATTGCAGGTGTTGTACTATTCTTTTTTTGCCAGGCAGAGAGAGAGTGAGAGAGAGAGAGAGACAGAGAGTTATAGACAGTGAGAGAGACAGAGAGAAAGGTCTCCCTTCCGTTGGTTCACTCCCCTAATGCCCCTACGGCCAGCGCTGTGCCAATCCAAAGCCAGGAGCCGGGTACTTCCTCCCGGTCTCCCAGGCGGGTGCAGGGACCCAAGCACTTGGGTCATCCTCCTCTTCCCTCCTGGGCCACAGCATAGAGCTGGACTGGAAGAGGAGCAACTGGGACTAGTACCTGGCACCCAACTGGGACTAGAACCCGGGGTGCTTTCGCCACAGGCGGAGGATTAGCCAAGTGAGCCATGGCACCAGCCTTGTACTATTCTTTTTCATGGTTTTGTGAACTCTTAAGTAGGGTCCCATAACTCCAGGTGAAATTTAACTTGTGAGGTACAGTATATCTGTTGCTTTTAACAGATTTTCGAGCCTTCATAAAAAAGAAATAAATCACATGCCTATTTCAAATAGAATAAAAGGATCTAAGTGTGCAAAAACTTCAATATCCATGAAATTTTTTCTTCAATTTTAGATGACATGACAAATATCAAATTTTGTACAAGTAAGTGACACAGTTAGCTCTGACCCTGCACCTTGTGGGCCAACATCTAATGCAAGAACTATAATAAAAATAATGTGATCATTGGTTGTTAACAACCAACCCCCTTTTCGAGTGTTTTGCACTGAGGTTTTACTATGTAATATGTAATATATTCTTACCTTTTTACAAATAATCAGTGGTGCTAACATGAATACTGAGTGCTGTTTTTTCAGTAAGGGGTATTGGGATATTTATCAATTTCATACTTCTGAGAGTTGCAGAGGACAGGAGTTGAGGAAATCTACAGTCATAGGGAATACAGACTTCCATTTTCAGTGGATACTGAGACTTACATAGCTTTTGGCTCTAAATATCTCCAATGCATTGTATTTAAATATAAAATATTCCCAAGTTTCTTGATCTGATGAAATAAATGTACTAGAAGCCTGTTGTATTTACATTCCTTTAAATGAGTGATCGTATTTCTGGCTCTACCAGATACCTGTATACTGAAAGACAGGCTCACAGGATTCCAATTGATTCGTCCCAAGCTCTGTAACAATATGCTTTTCAAACATCCTCAGGGGTATAGCCGAGTACATACAGTTAGTTATAGTTTATACCATCAATTTAGGAAATTAAAAATAGGAACCAAAATTCAAGTTCAATTCTTATGCTATAAATAGTAATGATTAAACTATTTCCCTATCCCCTTGTTTTCTTCTCAGAAAAATTCAAAACAACAACCAAGACAATCACCCCAATAGCCCATATACACTCTTTGTGAGAATGTTAATTTGTAGAGCCATTATAGAAAACAGAAGGTTCTTCAATAAATTAAAATACAACTTCCATTTGCTCCAGAAATCCCTCCTTTGGGAAATGAAATCAACACCTTACAGAGACATCTGCATTATTCACAATACTGAAGATCGGAAAACAACCTATGTGTCCATTGAGAAGTGACTGAATAAAAAAAAGGTAATATACACAAAAAGTGGAGCATATTCATCTTTTAAAAAGGAGATCCTGACATTTGTGATAATGTAGATCAAACTGCAGGGAATTATGTGACTAAGCCATGAGCAAAAGACAAATGCTGCATGACCTGACTTATTCAAGGAATCTGAAAATGCTTAATTCATAGAAGTAGAAAATAGAAGAGTAATTACCGGGGGTTGTGGTGTGTGTGGGAGAAATGGAAAGATATTGGTCTATGGTGTACTGTTTCAGTTCTGCAAGAACTAAAGTTCTAGAGATTTTATATATATAAACATGATGACTGTCATTAATAATACTGTATTATAAACTTAAATTTTTCTAAGATAGTAGATCCTAAATTTCTTTTTTGACAGGCAGAGTGGACAGTGAGAGAGAGAGAGAGAGAGAAAGGTCTTCCTTTACCATTGGTTCACCCTCCAATGGCCGCCGCGCTGCAGCCGGCGCACCACACTGATCCGATGGCAGGAGCCAGGTACTTATCCTGGTCTCCCATGTGGGTGCAGGGCCCAAGCACTTGGGCCATCCTCCACTGCACTCCCTGGCCACAGCAGAGAGCTAGCCTGGAAGAGGGGCAACCGGGACAGAATCCGGTGCCCCGACCAGGACTAGAACCCGGTGTGCCGGCGCCGCAAGGTGGTGGATTAGCCCAGTGAGCCGCGGCGCCGGCCCCTAAATGTTCTTAACATACACCAAATGGTAACTATGTGAGGTGATATATTTGTTCGATAATTTCACAAAACATACATATATCAAAACATTGTAATTACATGCATTTTATTTGTCAAAGTTATAACTTAATATATAAAAATAATTTATAAAAACAATAAAACCAAATGTGGCATTTTTATTGGAATATCACTGGCTTAGAAATAGGACTATTTGTTACAAATCTGTTCCTCCATGGAGTCCTGTTTAAACTGTAGTAATAGATAACCATGATCATAAGATGAACTATTTTAAGAATTTTTACTTATGTGAAGTAAGGTGATTTTGACTTCGTCTATAACCTTTCATGTGATCTAATTATAAGTGGTCAGGGAACACAAAGATCTTTATTCTTTAGAAATCAAACAGGCAGGTCTGGCTTTATTGCTGAGATGAGTCTTCCTTGAAACCACAGCCTTAGTCTCCACCAGTGACCACTGACAGCGCATTCTTGCCCCTTGTGGGTGTCTCGAGACCTGTCAGCAGTCAGAACTGCTGGGCATTGATTAGCCAATAATAATTTAGTAACTAACATAGGCAGCCTTATTAGGGATTGTCAGAGCTAGAATAATTACCACACAAATTCAAACCATCTGGCCTATAAGAGAGTATGTCTTCCATAAGTTTTATCTTCCTGTTTCAGTAATAAATTATTCTATCACATTCCCAATAAAACACTGGAGAGGAGAGGTCAAGTGACCTTGAAGTTTCTGAGTTAATTCAGTCTCTGCAGCTCCACATTTTATCACCATCTCCAAACCATGGGAGCATTTTTTTTCTTTTCCTATTGGCCTGACAGCCAGGAATGCCACTAGTGAGTTATAGGAATTGAGGAAGCATTCGTCAAGCCCTGTTCATATGGGCAGGTGGCAGGAGGGGGAGGGGGGGTGCATAGCCTAGGAGACTGGATTCCAAATCTGATTAATTATCAGAATCACATGAGGAGTTGTCTAGAAACAGATTCCTTTGCGTTAGAGGATGTGCTTTGGTGGCATGGAGTGGATCCTGGTGTACTGGCTCGTTTATGCAAAGGTAACACACAGCATAGAAATCTCAGTGACTCACACAAACATTTGTGCTCACGTTTCATGAAGGTTGCGGTCTTCTGTGGCTCATTTGGGCTTGCCTGGACTTGAACTAGAAACATGTGTATTCTCATTCCAGAACCCAGTTGAAGGAGTATCTGCTAACTAGGGCATGCCGTTCTCATAACAGAGGGCAGAAACTCAAAACAGTGCCAAACCAAACCATGCCAACACATCTAATGTTTCTAAATTGGTGTGGTCTTCATCATGTCCACTTATCATTCATCAACAAAGGTCATGCCCAGGGTCCATGGGTAAGGAGTAAACCCCACCTACAGGAAAACAAGGAATATAAGGTAGGCCTAGGAGTAGGAAGGTAGAGAAATACTTGTAAATGAGTGGTACAGTTTATTACACTTAAGAATATACGTTTTAAAAGCTCCTTAGAAGATCCTGATGAAACCACTGAACCTTGTTATTTTACGGAAAAGAATCTTCCCTGATGCACCTGTTGTGATGACTAAGCAACTATTAGTGGTTTTTCAGCAGACAGGCTGCACTAAGTGCAACTCAATCACTCATTCCATCAACTAACATGTGTACCCAACACATATCGAAATCTGATGCTTCTATAAAGCTTAGGAGTTCTTCCAAATTGTAGTTGTCTTAACTATCCTATTAAATGGTATTGTTGCTCCCATTTTGAAAATATGGGAAATGAAATGACAGACCTCTAGAAAAGAGTGAACCTGGCTTGATCATGTGCTTGTCCATGTCTGAACCTCCTCCTGCTACAATGGATGCCCTGGCAGGCCAAGCCCTGTTATTGCCAACACTTCCTCTCCAGCACACACTAGCACAGACATTGGGATCTTTGATGTAAGTTTTAATTAACTTATTTATTTGGCAAATATTTATTAAGCACTCATCACATTCCAGATACTATTCTAGGCACTAGCAAGATAAGCAGCAGGATAAAATTGACAAAAAGCCCTGCTTACCATCTGGCCAAGGGACATGGATGTTAAACAACTGAACAAGTAAACTCATGTTAAATGGCAACAATGGGAACTTATGCCAGATGGGGACAAGTGCCATGAGGAAAAATAACAGATTTTTGGCATGGTCAGAGTCAGCCATGGCTAGATATTACAGGAAGTAAATCCTTTTAAAGACATGAAGAGAGAATGATTAAACTGTTTCATCAGAGGGCAGAATAGTTCTAGGACCTCCCTCAAATAATTCCCATGCTTCAAAATATAAACAATGAACTCACACTGAATTTTATGGGATAAACCATGTTTCTCTTGACAGATCAATTGCTGAAATTCAATTCTTATTAAAGTGAATTATGTGGCCATTCCAAATACTTTACTGAGGAGGAACAGTAAAAGTAAATAAAAATGAGTATGTTTTCTTCATTTGTAATAAATACCATCTTATGAGCTGCATGAGGTGTCAATTACCACATGGCAGGCAAACCTTGGGACATGGCACACCTTGCATAATGATAAGACAGGCATCCTGAAGGGTATCGTGTTTTATATAGCAAATTTCCAGCATATTCACTACCTGCTGATTTTGTTTATTTGCTATTATTATTTGTGCATAATTGTATTTATTTATGGGGGTAACACTACTCCCTGCTTATTCCTATTAGGACTTCTTTTCCCTGGAAGAAAACTGAGGTACAATGTTACTGTTTGAATCTCCATTTATTCATTCAACAAATATATGTTGGTTTCTTGTCATATGCCAGGAACAGAACACACAGCAATGAGCAAAACAGATAAACCTCCCTTCCCCTTGTGGAGCTTACTATCCAGCCAGACGGAGGTGGATATTAACAGCAGCATTTGCTTGTTTGAAGAAGATGCGTGAGCTCTTAGGAAGAAAAGTTCAAACAGCCCTTGTCCTAAAGCCTTGGGGTTACGGGCAGACAGGAAGCAGCTGAGTGTTTCGGCACATAGGCGTTGTTACCACCGACACAGTTGTTAGGTGTGGGCCCCAGGCACATCCCACACTGGCAAGTTGGTTGGGAGATGTTGTGCTTTAAGCCTTCTGGCCCCAGCGTGGATCATCTGTCAGGCAGTATTTCTGTCTAACTCTCTCAAATGTGGTTATGGGCCATCTAAAGGGAGTGGGACATGATCAGTCGTTGCAAAATAATTTGTTTGAAGAGGCATCATGGACCACAGCTGGAAACAAGCATGTTAAGAGTGACAGGATCTTGGCAGCCACAAAACCTTAGATTTTGAGTCTTGCTTTTCAACCAAACCAAGTGGGATGGCTGGGCATTCATTAGGAAGAAAGAGCCTTCCCCATTCCAAGGCTTTCTCATTACATCAACCCCTCTCCCACCCAAGGACTGGATAGGGCAGTCCTAACACTTCAGTTTATCAAAAGTGGGGTTAGTCAACTTTCATTACAGAGTAAAATTTATTTTGAGTGTCTCAAAATTATATCATAAGATCATTACTAATTCTACAGTGTTTATTTAGAGTAGTTTCAATCATGTAATAAAGAACACACAAACAGAACCAAACTCCTATTGACTTCTTGTGTTAAAAATCTACAAAGTTGAAGTGGGTGTTATCCCAATGGTTAAAATGCCTGTATCCTACATTGAAGTACCTGGGTTCAATTCCCAGCTCCGGCTCCTGACTCCAGCTTCCTGCCAATGAGTCCTTGGCAGTGGAAAGCTCACCACTCATGGCAATACTGTGAGGGAGGGATTTCATTGTATTTATCATATGCACTATAATATTTTACTTATTTTGTTGTTTATTTATGCAATTTAGAGGCAGAGAGAGAGAAACAGACAGAGCTCCCATCTGCTGGCTTATTCCCTAAGTACCCAAAACATCAAGGGCTGAGCTTGGGAGCTGGAAGCTAGGAGGCCAATCTAGGTTCCACATTTGTGAAGGGGACTCAACTTCTTGAGCCATCATTACTAGCTCTCAGGGTACACACAAGCAGGAAGCTGGAATCAGAATTAAATCCCAGACTCAAACCCAGGCATTCTGATATAGGGTGCAGGAGTTCCAACTGGAATCTTAACTGCTATGCCAAATGCAGGTCCTTAGTTTACTTTTTAAAATAAGGACATATAATTCTTTGGCAATAATAAGGGCATAGTATTTCACAGACTCAGTATTTGGGACTCAGAAAAACATGTGCATTTGTTGTGCAAAGGACTTGTGGTAAATCACTAAGGATTATATCAAATCTTAGAAGGAGTTGGGCTGCAGGTGTGAAACTGTGTTCAAAATCTTCAGAGTTGCTTCTAAAACTGGTCATGAGAGGTTGGGCAGCTTATCTTCCTGCAGGCTTTGGGAGAAGAGGGGACATACATCTATCTCGGTGATTTAGGAATTTACCCAAGGGACTGAACCAAATGACCCTTTACCTGTAATATGGAGACAACATTTCAAGTTCTAGAATTATGATGAAGATTCTATGCCATGTGGGAACTCAACAAATGTTACTTCTTTTTTGTCAATCAAGGGAAGAGATTTCCATCCCCATCTACGTGTGTGGTTCAAATTGAACCTGATTTTACTTTTTGGAAGATTTATTTGAAAGACAGAATGACAGAGGGGAGGGAGGGAGGGAGAGAGAGAAAGAAGAGAGGAGAGAGGAGATGGGAGAGGGGAGAGGGGAGAGGGAGAGAGAAGAAAAGAGCTTTAGTCTGCTGGTTCCCTCCCTAATTGCCCCCAATGGCCATGGCTGGGCCAAGTCACAGCAAGGAGCCAAGATTTCAATTTGGCTTTCATACATGGATGTTAGAGACTCACGTAATTGAAGCCATGATCCACTGCTTCCCAGGCACATTAGCAGGGAGCTGGACTGAAAGCAGAGGAGACAGGACCCAAACTGGTGCTCTGAAATTAAGTACATTTGTGAATGCTTTATGAATCTTTGGATTTTCAAAACTTGGGACTATTATTATCAGCCAACCTGGTAGACATCAAATAAACATAGTTTGATTCTACGATGCTGAATGACACAGTAACTTTGAAGGAGAGTCAACACTCACAATCACAAGCATTCATGGGTGTTACCACCATTATCATTGGCTCTCTATAAGCTACTTTCAGAAAGACAAGTTAATGCACAATTTCTTCCTAGTTTCCTAGTTAGAATGAGAGAAATGTACAATCTAAGACTATAAGCTATTGAAGACCATATACTCGTGTATCATACAATGCTTTCTACAGTCTTAGTGGTGGTGAGGTTTTCTCCACTGCCTTCTAATGTGTACTAGTAGGGAGCTGAATCAGAAGCAGAACAACTGGGACTTGAACTGATGCTCTATGGGATGCCAGGGTCACAAACAGCAACTTAACCCACTACACCACAGTGGCAGCCTCTGTACTTGATTTTAAACATAGACATTTTGAGTTAAAGTCTACACAAACTAAACAAGGAAGCAGAGCAGGGACGTTTGATTACCTTCCTGTCTTTGTCCTACAGATAGGCCCTGGAATTGCATCATTTTAATACCCTTTCCACTCTTTAAAGACTTTGTCACTCACTAAACACTCAGAAATTTCACTGGAGCAGGATTATTTTGTGTATGAAAAACCTCAAAGCAGGAACACTTCATATTTCTGAATAGAGACCCTACTATTAGTCAAAACAACACTTTGGGTCATTCCAATTAATTATTTACTTAGAGTTCCACATCTTCTTTCTGTGACTATAGATAGTGTCTGGGGAGCATGACTTGTTTTTTCCTCATGGTTATTATATTAGGTTACTTGAGTTAACGTACTGCATCAGGAATGTTCCACTTGCTAAACTTTTTGAGGATTTCTGCAATTCACTAACATATTCATCAGCTAAATATGAAGTCCTCTAAAGAGCTTTCGTCTTTCCCTTTCATATTTCTCCCTTGGCTCTGAAGTGGAAATGCATGCTCAATTAATAATACCATTGCAAGGTTCTTTGGGAGTACAACCTTGTCAGAGAGGTGCTTCCTGAGTGCTTATGTAGTTCAGCTTGATTTCTCCAGCTAAATGTTTAGAAAGCCCACTAAGTAATCATTCTGATACTGCTCACCCACCTGTGTGTTTTCTATCTTCTGAGAGAAAGAGACAATGGTCAAGAGATGAAAGAAGAGAAGATAGAGGCAAAGGGAAGGCTTAAAGCTAAGAAAGGAAGGGATGAGGTAAGATAGACAAGAATCAGAGCATCCCATACTCCCTGAAAACTGGGTGTGATGGTCTGATATTACTTTGCAAACCATATCCTTGTTGAACCCATGACTAAGCCATAGGGGTAATAATTTCCTGTGGGGAATAGAGTCCCCAATATCCAGGTATGCAAAGAAAATTAGATATTCTATTTCTTTAGACCTCATCTCATTTTTTCCACTTGCTTGGGTAGCAAGAAAAACAAAGAAATTCAATATATCTGGACCAATTCTGCTTAGAGTTAGTTTGGCCCAATCATTTATGCAAAAGCTTGAGATTAACTAGCTTTTCTGCTCAGTTCTTCAAAGCTGTTTCTTCCTTTGTTGCTCCTCTCTCCAGGTCCCATGGTCCATGGTGCTGGGGGAAGGGAATCCCTGCATTTGCACTTGTGCTTGGGTGTGAGGTGCCTGGTGTCTGCTGAGGAATGCTTGGCACCACCCTATGGCTGGCGGCCACAGCTGGCAGCCACAGCTGACATCTGTGACTGATGTACTTTTAGTCTATTTCTGCTTGGCTTGCTTGGAGCTGGGAGCCCCTCCCTGAAGACTAGCCCCACTCCTACCCGACTCTTGCTGGTGAAGACCCCTTTGGGTGTCTGTCATATCTTCAACGTCTGGTCCCACCTGTCTACCCTGGTGCTAAGCTTGCTTGCTCATCTCAGTTCTCACCCCAGCAACCCATGGCAGATCTGTGGTTTCTCAAATTGGCAGCGGTGCTATGGGAGAACAAGGGGAAGCTCAGGTGCAAAAGCCTGTCTCCTTCTGAACTTGAACATGCCAATCCACACTCTGAATTATGTAGGCCTCATGTACTTTCAGATCCAGTTGTCTCCACGCAAAACAAGGCATCAGTCAAGCCAACCCATCCTCTTCCCCATCTCACACCATGGGACTGTGAAGACACAAAGAGGAATCTTATAATTAACTGTTTCCTTTGTCACCTCTCTCAGCTATTCACCCCTTCTCTATAATTCCTTGCATTTGGAAGGGCCACACTTTTCCTTTATGCTCTCTCTTTCTCTGCCTTACACAAAACTGTATAATATTTCCACCAGGCCTTGTTTTGTTATGTTAAGTGGTCATCAGCATAATTTATAAAATTCTTGCTCAGTAATGCTTGCTACAAATTCCTATTTTGAATATCAAAAAGCCAATAATAATTTCTCTATGTTATGCCATTAGTTTGCACTGATATTACTATGAACATACTAGGTAGCTGTTCATAACTATGTAAAAGGAAAAGAAGATTAATATTCAAGATATCATATTCTCTCTGTGTGTTCTGTAGATGAGACAGTGTGGGGGAAGCACACTACTCCCCTGGGCTCCTTCCTCACTGGAATGAGCTATGGCTAATGCCTCTGACTAGTGCTGAAGTTTTCAGGGCAGCAGCCTCCATTCCCATTGCCAGTCACTGTCCATCCAGGCGCTAGATTATGGGAGCAGCCCTACAGTGGTATTCCACCAGGGTCTTTCAGTTGCAAAGAAATCTTCAATCTTTGGTCCATTTATTAAGTACCCACTATGTGATCCATACTGATCCAAATGTTACATGAAACAGAAATGAAGATGAGATAAAATAGATCTGTTGGAAAATATTTCAGCTAAGACTTTGAACATTTGTCCCAGTACAATTTACCCAAAGAAGCTCAAAGTTGTGAAAATAGTTGTTTTTAATTTCTTATTTCTGATGATTCAGAGTTATTTAAAACTTAATTAATTCATTTATTCACATTGATCCTTCGAACAAATGCTTTTT